CACAGAACTTTTTTATGTCCAAGTACATTAATAAACATAAAGCTCAAGAATCAAGGTTAAGCTCCAATCAGCTGAAGAGCTATTCCAGTTCAACAAAATAACAACCATATTGGAACTTGGAGCAATAATTCAGAATTGATAATTTACAAGTGAAACAATCTTTTTCAATACATACCACGGATTGAATAGCATTTTTCTCTTAAAAATAAAATATTTAAGAGAACATGGGCCAAATAGAACATACCTCATGACCGGTCTCTGGAACTGCATCAATGCTAACATCAGGAATGCCACGAACAGTTGAAGGCCGGAGATTATCTTGATAAGCTCTCCAACTTGCAGCAAGATCAAAGGGTGAAACCCTGTCTGCTTTAATCAACACTCGATACTCAAGAACCTCCTCATTATCTAGCTTAAATAGTGCCAGTCTTGCATCCCCTTGTAAGGTACCCCCAATAAGCTGCCGGTTTGGACCCTCCTCAACAATACATGGAGTGTAACCATGCTTAGGCTTCAACAAGAACTTGAAATCCAAAGTTTCTACATTCAAACATGTAAAACACAAATAAGTAGAAATCCTCACAAAGCTTAAGCTGAACATATCACTTGCCAATAAATTCCTAAGATTCACTTTAGCTACTACTTCTGAAATCAAACGAAAACCAACAGAGCCTTAAAATTTTACATCAGAAAACACAAGAAACCTGATTCTTAAAAACGTAAAGGAGAACTAGTAGAATATACAGTATGCTATTTAATTTTCCCCAACGCTCGTATTCTATTTAATTTTCCAATCAAACAGACCATACCCAGAAATGGAGAACCAAAAAAGAGTGGAGCAACCCTAGCACACTTTACCGTGATTAGGGGGAACAACAAAGCTCAGTTCCCACATGGAAGTCGATTCTCGCTCCATTGAAAGCTATGAATATTTAAAAACAAAATTAGAAGATCGGAAAAAACAATTGCATGAATAGATTAAAGAAGAAAAGAGAGAAAATTACAGCTTTGGAGGAATCCCAGGAACCAACGAGAGGAACGGAACCATAAACATGAGGAATAAGGTCTCCTTTCTTCTTGTAATTCTCCATCTTCAACGAAACGTAAAGTTGACCGCCAGCTTGGTCAAGGCTCTCCTCTCGTTCTTCGCCTCCATGCAACCCTCCATCGGCGTTTCTCGATGCACCCGTCCCCATCCAATCTCCCTCCCCCTTAGCCTCCTTTTCCCCTCTTCTATAAAACAATAATTAAATAATTCAAATTTAATAGATTGCAGTACTTCAAATTTTAGGTTCACCTGCGTCCATGGTTGAGTAAATACTGAAGTATATTCTTAATTTTCTGTTCTTTTTTCTTTGGGTGGATAAGAAGATTGAATCCATAGATAAAATTATATTTTTTTAAAAATTAAAAAGAAAAAGGAGAGCCGATCATTTCTGTTTGCGTTTTGCATATTGGCTTTTCCTTCTTTTTTTTTAATTTTATATTTTATTTTTGGATTTGATAAACAAAGGCAGCTAGGCAGTCCGCGTTTGGGAGGGGTTGGATTTGGGGCCCATATATCTTTTTGCTTAGATACGCCATTGCTTCTAAGTGATATATCTTAATCTCCCTTTACTCGTGTAACACGTGTACGTCTGTTCAAGGAACGACAGGTGTCAATACCTAATGGCGAGTGCAATTTTGATCTTAAAATGATGGCGACTGTATACCGTCTCTTCAAGCCATGGGAGCATAAACGAATAAATAAATTCTTTTTTGCTCTTTTGAACTGAATAAATAAATAGTTTTATCTGTTGCATCGCTTGGGTGCTATTGCCTTTGCCTTTATGCATATTAGATTTTTAGGTTTTATATAGGAAGGGACATTAGTTTGGTAGATTCTAATATGATTTAATTTAATTAGATTGATTTTTTAAAGTTAAATTTAATTTAAATTAAATCGAGTCAATTTTTTAAAGAATGGAGTCAGATTGATCTGATTCAACACAGTATTATAATATTCGTATATATTTAAAGATAATTACAATAATATTTTTTTCCAAAGGCAATAAATGTAAGCACTCCAAACAATTTTTAAAATGAAAAGTAGCAAAGCTTTGCCCTTCAATTGGGAGCAAGCCCAAGCCAGTTCCTGGCCCAATTTTGAAACATCCATCTCAACATTACACAATCTTAGAACTTTTTTCCAAATACTACAAGAAAAAAGGACACAAAGAAAAGGTGCTCCCTCGACTCCAAAGCATCAACACTGATCACACAGAGAGGATCAACCGTAATATTTATCTTTAACAATTTATCCTTTATACTCAGCAAATCAAGAATAGCCAGCCATGCAATACTAGAATGCTTATGGATATGCATAGGAAACCAAATTAATTTTTGTCAAGGGACGTGAGGATACTTCATCCGAATCTCACCTCAAATCCAGGTGGCATTAACCTTCTGTCCATTCAAGACCGAAGCAGCCTCATTTCTTAATTGGAACATCTTCCTCAAGCTCCAACTTGCATTTATTTTACATTCAGACAACTAGAAATCAATACTCTTTAGAACATAAGCGTGCACCTAGGACACCCAAAGGGTCCCTTACCACCAAGCAATTTTCGCATAAGTTGCGTTACACAAGTCGTATTTTAAGATCGAACGTCCTTTAAGTTCAATCCATTCTCCGATTTAATAATATAAATTTATATCTTACGTGACATCCTAATCAATAAATAAATCTTTCTTATCTTAAATTTTGGTTGTATTCATTTTTAACTCTTGCCAAATCATATAAAGTATAAAAAATTACATAAATATACTTTGTACAACGAGAAACAATAAAAAGTTTTAAAAAGTTTTCTCTCGATTTAACGTGGTATATTCCTTTTTTTCCTTTTCTTTTTCATTTGCCGAATAGTAACATTAATATTGACGAGATCATTGATTGTCGGTAGATTTTATTTTTCTTTTTTTATATCACATTTTTGTTTATTTTTTGTTTCTTTATTTTTCAATAATTATAGTTTTATGACATTTTTTTATCTTTTTATAATACTTTTTCGATTTTCTTTATAGGTTGTTTGATTATTTTTTTATTTAAACTCTAGAGACCTAATGATAGAAAGAAAAACTGAATTTACATAAATTTTAACGCTCCAATATCTGATGTTACTCTCATATCAGTATTCATACATGTTAGAAATCAAACTTGATTTCTAAAAGTTAACAAAGTCAACAAAAGCAGCTAAGATATATATGCTTAATCATTAAGCATATGAGAAATGACTTGCAGCATTAAAATGTTGAAGTTATAACAAAGTCAAATATGGCAGCAATAAAGTGATGAGGTGGCAGTAAATTAATGCTATAAAAACTTGGGAATTGGCAGCACAAATTCACTCACGTCAAGCAAGTATTAAGGCTCCAATAATGGAGAGAAATTGAGAAACATCAACAGCAAAAGTAGACGGTTTATTAACTATTATAAATATATGAAATTTATGAGATGTAATACAAGAAAAGAGAAAAAATGAAAGTTTAGAAAAGCCAGAATGAAAAATAGTTTAGCAAAGCTATTAGAGAGAAATGGTGAAGCTTAGCAAAGCTTAGAATATCGAGGTCGTGTGTTGTAGTGTTGTAATATTGTAATATTGAGATAACGTCGTTGCAACGTATTTTGCCTCGTATTAATAAAAGTTCGAGAGTTATAAATTATCGAGAGCTCATCTACGCTTCCAACAAGTGATATCAGAGCTTGGTTTGAGTTTAACGTGGTGGATAATATGACCAACATGATTCAACCTCAAATCTCAAGATTAACAAAGACAAATTATGGCAATTGGAGCATTCAAATGAAGGCGGTACTAGGCTTCCAATATTGTTGGGATATCATCGAGGATGGTTACACCGAGCCTCAAAATGCAGCAATAGATGCAACCCTGACCAATGAAGAAAAGAATGTATTGAAGAAATCCCAGAAAAAAGATAAAAAAAAAAGTGTTGTTATTTATTTTTCAAGGAGTAGACGAATCTACCTTTGAAAAAATTTCTGATGCAAAGACCGCAAAACAAACGTGGGCGATTTTATAAAAATCTCTACAAGGTGTCAAAAAAGTAAAGAATAATACATAGCCGCAGCAGCATGCACTTACCAGGAAAAGAAGAATCAACTGAAGACAAGTGGAGAAAAATTTGAAATGAAAAATCAAGTTTGAGGGGAGTGTTAGAAATCAAACTTGATTTCTAAAAGTTAACAAAGTCAACAAAAACAGCTAAGATATGTATGTTTAATCATTAAGCATATGGGAAATGACTTGCAACATCAAAATGTTGAAGTTATAACAAAGTCAAATATGGTAGCAATAAAGTGATGAGGTGGCAGCAAATTGATGCTATAAAAGCTTGGGAATTGGCAGCACAAATTCATTCACGTCAAACAAGTATTAAGGCTCCAATAATGGAGAGAAATTGAGAAACATCCAGAGCAAAAGTAGGCGGTTTATTAATTATTATAAATATATGAAATGTATGAGATGTAATACAAGAAAAGAGAAAAAAATGAAAGCTTATAAAAGCCAGAATGAAAAATAGCTTAGCAAAGCTATTAGAGAGAAAGGGTGAAGCTTAGCAAAGTTTAAAATATCGAGGTTGTGTTTGTAAACTAGTCGCAGCTAGTGTTGTAATGTTGTAGTGTTGTAATATTATAATATTGGGATAACGTCGTTGTAACGTATTTTGCCTCGTATTAATAAAAGTTTGAGAGTTATAAATTATCGAGAGCCCATCTACGCTTCCAACAATACATTCAATGATATTCTATAAAATATAAGCGTCAAAACCTCAGTAATCCCATCTCTTAAAGGACTCCTGTATACACAAATATTATTCTATTTTTTTTATTAATTTAGCCGACGATTTTGATGTTAAATGTCACTCTATAAAAGTAGTCAATTTAGATTTTACACATAAATATTTATTAATCTATACGTCTTTAAGAAAATATATATTTGGATTTAAACGTGTCTGAGGCTATTGCTTATCTTCTTCAATTCCTCGAATGCGCGAATGGTCTCTGCATCAAAACCACCTGCGAACTGAAACCTTAAAATGGTTAGCATTTTTAAAAGCAAAACAAAACATGAATTTGATTTTCTTTTTCTTTTTCTTTTTGGTTATAACCTGGTGAATTCTGTACGCAAATCGAACTCCTTGAAGCAGGAGATTGTATTCGTGTGGACATTCCTTGGATTGCAGTTCTTCTGTTGTTCTTTTCATGTATTCCCTCGCTAGCCTCAGTGAGCTGAATTTCATCTGCAACAGAAATCATGGAATATTTTCGCATAAAACAGGGACTAAATCCATAATTTGACCCTATGTTCACATTTGTACAATTTTAGTTTGAATGCTTAGTTGGGTCGAAAGATAAGCTCGAAAATCATGAATATCCTAGCTTCATTAGCAAGGTTAATTTCATTAGAGTGATGTTCCCTTCAAATGCACTTCATGGCTGAATATAGTAATGTGAAAATGGCAAAATGTTGCTCATTTTTTCTAATTAAAGTTTACTGTTTTGAGAACCATAACGTTAGGATCTACCTACCTGACCAATCAAACCAGTTTCCAACATCCATTCCCACGGGATCTGCAAATCTCTGTATCTTTTGCTACTGCTTTCTCTCACCCTTTCTATGTTATTCACACTTTGCTCCAACCTGAAAGTTTTTTTTTCAAATTCATCATGCCGTTAATTCATGCTACTGACTCCAAATATTCAAGTTTATACCTAGTAACTTAGTTTATACATGCTCGCCTGTCTTGCAATGCTTGCATCCTTTTGAACTCTGAATTGAATGACTCTTTGGGGTTGGCCTTAAATGATGATACTTCGGCTTCCATGTTCTTTAAGTCCCGGTAGCTAAACGCGGCTTCCCTCAGCGCATCGGCTTTTCTCTCTGGCCAGTGCGGGAAATGCTTCAGAACTGCCCTTTCATCCACCAGAGAAGATAGTTCTTGATCTAAAGACTTCACAAATACTTCCACGTCTGATATGTCTTTGAATGCTGCAGATTGGACCTCCGAGATTAAGAAATTTATGAACTCCTTCTGTTTTTCGACGTCGGATTTGATCTGTGTTCATTGATCGATATTGTCATTTTGATTGGAAAAAAAGTGTGTTTTGAATTTGGAAGCGAAAGGCTAATGTACTTACAGCTGAAACATAAGTTGATCGGTTTTCGATTTCGCCTATCATGTTCTTAGTAAATGCAAGCAATGGGGTTGCTGTCATGTTGGATTTGTTTTCGATGTTGGCATCCTTCCTCGTTAGAGAACGATAAAGCTCCCCAACTTCGGGTACACGGCGGACCGATCTCGAGCCTGCTAACAATTTCGATGGCAATGGTGTTGCTGGCGGTGCTGGTACCAATGGCGCTTTAGCTTTGTTTTCATTAACTTCCTTAGGAGATGAAGAGATAAAAGGATTATGAGACCTTGGTGGTGGTTTTGGTGCTTCTAATTGCCTTTCTTTTCTCACAGCCAATTCCTGGAAACTCGGCCTTGGACACACATTTTGAGATTCGACGAAATCCGGTGATTTCTGCAGCGATGCGTCCGAATTGATATCCTCCTTTGAATTATGCAACTTCTTCCAAAGCAATGACCTTCTCTCATTGTCATGTGCCTTGAGGGAACTGATATGTGCTTTCAAACGAGCTACCTCCTGTTTTAGGTCCTGATTTTCTTTCACCAATGAATCGTTTATAGACAAGGAAGCCTCGAGCTGTTTCTTGAGGAGGCTGATCGGTTGACGGAGTACCGATTCGTCATCTCCGAGTGGCATTTTCTCTTCTCTGTTTCTTCAGAGATTTCATCAAAAGGATGATGAGATGAAGAAGAGTTTGAGCATAGGTTGATTTTGCTATAATCTTCACCTTTTATATATTTATTCAATGCTCTTTACTTTTGAAGCAAGCTGCTTAGCTAAGGCTGAAGTGTTGTATAGAGAACAACATTCAGTTCTGGTCAAATGTTACCTTTAGACTCCTCTCGTTTAATTCATTATATAAGCTTTTTTGTGTCAAATGGTCCCTGTACTTTTCATTTTATGCAGATTTAATCCCTCAACAAAAAATACAGATTTTTTCTTACCTTTACTCCATGTTTCAAACATTAATCTCCAGATACATGAGTGATTGCAAGTTTCCAACTTCCATTTCTAGAGCTTTCCCATCAAACCATTTACCATTCCCCCTATGTTGTAAAGTTCCTATGTTTAAATTGCATTGCAATTGGGTGGAGTTTGCTTGAGAATCAAGGATAAAAAGAAAGTGTGCATATCAATGGAGGACGGTGAAGGATGCTGACACTGCAAAATTAAAGGGAAAAAAGAATAGAGTATTGATGAGTACAGCTTACCAGAATAAGTTCTCTTATTTTACTTTACTTTCCCTTCTCTTTTACATATTTACTTGCATCCCTATTTCTTCTAGAAAAAGAAAAAGAAAAGTTGGGGGGTCTCTCAGGATTTATTCCTTATATATCCTAGCTTCCTCTGGTTTTTGCTAGATAGTTTGAAACATGCTTTAATCTCTTTAGGTTCATCTCTTATTTTAGTCCCTCTACTATGTTGAAACTCGGGATTTGATCCCTTTATTTTACTATGACATGTAAATTTACTATTAGTTGAACATGATTGATTCATGTAGCCTGATTATGTGATTGAATTATAAAAAAGTTCACGTAAATATTTAGTGTGACAATTAATTCAGGGACCAAATTATAAAAATAAATTAAAGAGTGATCAATTATTAAGTTTCAGCAAAGCAGAGGGACTGAAATCATAATTAGACAGACTATATAATGTTGAAATAAAATATAGAGGAGAAAATAACCTCAGTGACTGAAAATTCCTTATAATATACGATTTTGACCAACTTTTTTTCGATTTGCCAAAATGACCAACAAAATCGCAATGCGATCTCTAAATCGCAACGCGATCTCCAGTATCGCAAATCAGTTTCCAGATTCGCAACGCGATTTTGACTATTGCATTGCGATTTTCCAAATTCGTGTTGCGATTTTGTAAAATCGCAATGCGAATATGTAAATCGCAACGCGATTCTGACTATAGCAACGCGATAATACAAAATCGCAATGTGATTTTCAAAGCGCTATTAGTATCGCAACGCGTATTTTATTTTCAAATTCCAAACACGAATATTAATACATCCCGTAATCGCAACTCTTAACCTAAAACCTTAAATCACAACTCAGTCTCATCTCCATTCTCACTCTCTACGGCGACATCTGTCCCTATCTCCGATGAAATCCGTCCCCATCTCCGGCGAAATCTATCTATCTCCATCTCTCAGAGCCACCCTCACAATCATTCACGATCAGAAATGGAAAATCAACCAAATCAACCACCGATGGTTAGTTTTTTTAATTATTTTTATTTTGAAATTTTTCCATTATTATTAGGTTTTTCATATTGAAATTGATGATAAGTTTACTGGTAATTTCAATAATAGATTAACCATTTCACTTAGATTGCTTATTAAATTCATTTGATTGCTGCCAATACTGCTAAACTGTTTAGTCTTTAACCATGTAAAGTTAGTATTTGTCTTTGTTTTGTCTTTTGTTGAAGTAATGCAATTCATTCAAGTTTCAATTTTAGACAATGGCTATTTGAAATCGAGGATCGCAACGCGAAATGAAAATCGCAACGATAGTCAAATTCGCGTTGCGATAGTCATTTTCGTGTTGCGATTTTCATTTCGCGTTGCGATAGTCAAATTCGCGTTGCAATAGTCATTTTCGTGTTGCGATTTTAAGTTTCAAAAACTATTATTCTTCTGCAAATTGAAACTTGAATGAATTGCATTACTTCAACCAAAAAACAAAGACAAATACGAAATTCACAGTGTTGTAAATTTAAGTTTGAAGAATAAACTACTACTACTCTTTATGTTTATTATTGTTTTTGGTATATCTTCACAGTGTAGTTTTTAATCTAACTTGGTATGTTTATTGTTTTTGTAGAACTTTTTTTCGGCTCAATTGATCTTAAGGAATAAAATAAGCCTAGTCACTACAATTGCGTCGAAGCTTTCACCTGTACAAAGAACATTGTTTGAGGATACTTGCTTCGGGCCATGGCTGAAAGTACAACATCCGGGTGGAGATGTTATGTTGACCCATTTATGGCTTCAGACCATGACTAGCGATCTACCCGAGAGTATAAAACGTGGTAATGAAGAGATATGGTTTCATTTTCCACCGACGTATACGTGTTTTGGGCGGAAGGAGTTTTGCTTAATCACTGGTCTACGCTTCGGACACGATGATGTAGGTCGATACACTAGTCATATATTACCTGCCCATCATGGTTTTCCCGGGTTTTTCCTGAGTTGTCAATGGAGAAGCCAAATTTACACGTCGACAACTTGACGAGATTATTGAATAAGAAATATGGTTTTACTCGGATGGATGACGTTGATGTTGTTCGAGTATGCCTTTTAGTACTTTTGCATGTCGGCTTTTTAGGCAGAGAGGCCAGACAACCTATTCCTAAGGACCTAATATTATTGGTAGAGGACCTAAATGCATGGAACATGTTTCTGTGGGGTTCGTATTTATGGAAAGCTACCTGGAATAAGTTGTCATCTGCCTTTGATGACCGCAAAAGTTTGCGTGGCGATGGTTCCAAATACACTTTGTCAGGCTTTATTTGGGCCTTTAAGGTAAGAATTTCTATATAATGTTTCCAAAAATAATTAATTATTAACAATTACTAATGTTTGTGATTATATTATTTTTGTAGATTTGGATATTTGAGGCTTTTCCCGACATGCAGACATATGCATTAAAAACTTCAAATGATATTCCTAGAGCTATTTCCTGGAAGAGGAAATGACGACTGTTGATTTGGGAAGAGATACTACGGTATACGACAATAAATGATTTAAGTTAACACAAATACTACCATATATATAAACAAGTTATTACTAGTACACGTTTAACTTTGTTTGAGCTTTTATATTGTTAGGAGGCCACACTCCATTACAGGCTGACACCCATGGAGGCTGAGCTTGCCACTGATTGGTGGCAAGCTAGTAAGCGTTTTTTTGATGGCATGAATGATGAGCAGCCTCCACTTCGAGAGCCATCACCTCACCCATAGCCATCACCTGATCGACCACACTATATACCTCTACAACGAGAACCATCACTATTCCGTCACATCAGCATCTTCTCTCCATCACCTCATGATATGCGACCGACAAAGATGCCACGACATTTATCTCCCTGTCTCTCCACGGGATGATTTAGGGGAGTTATGTGATGAGGTCAATGCCTTGCGTGAGAGGTCGGTACTTTACGCGATGACAATGTGCATGGCGTGACGAGGTATCTACTTTATGGTGAGGTAGCGGCCCACGTGAGATGGTAGCATCGTTGTAGAATGAAAGTTCATACTCTACGCAACGAGTAAGTTTAAGATTTTTCATATTAACTTGATTTACTCGTATTTCACTTAGATTAACCATTTCACTTAGATTGCTTAGTAATTCATTCGGTGTTGATAACTATCGCAACGCGGAAATGATTATCGCAACGCGAATTTGACTATCGCAACGGGATAATCGCAATGCGAAATTAAAATCGCAATGCGAAAATGACTATCGCAACGTGAATTTAGTTTCGCGTTGCGATTTTGGTTTCGCGTTGCGATTTTTATTTCGTATTGCAATTATCCCGTTGCGATAGTCAAATTCGCGTTGCGATAGTCATTTCCGCATTGCGATAGTCATTTTCGCGTTGCGATTTAAGTTTCGTGTTACGATTTTTAAGTTTCAGAAACTATTCTTCTTCTGCAAATTGAAACTTGAATGGATTGGATTACTTCAACCAAAAGACAAAGACAAAGACAAATACTAACTTCACAGTGTTGCAAATTTAAGTTTCAAGAATAAACTACTACTCTTTATGTTGTCCTTGAACATGCACTAAACCTATATGCTTTCATTTTAAATGTTTATAAGTGCTTACTTCTGGAATGTTATCTGATGCATTTTGTGAATTATGATAGAATAATGACTTGGGTGAATACCGTGAAAGTTTGAAACATATTTGTCTTTGTTTTCACTGTTTAATATCATGTCTGTTTATTTACTGATTTATGTATTAATAATTATTTTTAGTGGCCCGATAAGGTGGATGCTTTACGTCGGGTTTTTCTTGCACGACGAGGTTCACGCATCAGACTGCGTGCACGTGCCATTATGTCTCCGTTCACCCCAATAGTGTGAAGACTCCGTAAGAAGAAGCCCGACTCACCTGTCATCGTTCAAGAGGCCTCTCCTATCGTTCAAGAGGCCCCTATCATCCCTCAAGAGTCCCCTCCCACCGTTCAATAGGCCCCTGTCATCGTTGAAGAGGTCCCTCCCACCATTCAAGAGCCCGATTCATACGGCGTAATATGTCGAATTATTGAGAAACCCCCTCATGTGCCGGACATGATGGATGACTGTTGGCTTTCGTATGAGTTACCGGCCAGTACCATTCCGGCAGATGAAGTAGAGAGGAAATAACTACTGGAAACAATTCTGGATAATACCCTTTGGGCTAAGACCGCAGTTGATTTTTATCTACATGAGCGGAGCCAAGGGTGTTACACTGACATATACAAACTCAACGATGATATGTATTTGTTGATTGATCGGTCTTGGTGGGGTGTGTTATTAGGGGTTGAAGATAAAGGCTATTTCGATAGGGGGTAAGTCTTATATTTCTTCTTATATTTCATTTTGATTAATTTTTTTAAAATTTTATGTAATTCACTAATATATGTATTTTTTTGTAAAACAGCATATTGATGCATGGGTGTCGCGTCTTCTAATAGTAAGGAAATTGAAGAAAAATAAAAAAATTACGCGATATACAATTATGTCGACGTCTTTTCACGTAGTTCACTTGAAGAATCAACGACAGGA